CTCTCGTGCCTGCCTGCCTGCCACACATGGTAGCAGGGCTTTATCGAATGGTCAATTTGTTGGCACTGGACAATTGAGAAATATTTAATGGCTGGGCATTGTTCCCACTATTTTTGGGTGGTTATGTGCTTCAGTTCAGGCTGAGCTCAGGGGGAGATCAACCTCCGCCCTGGATCTATCTCCTTCCTGGGGTTCGGTGCTACCTCCTTCCAGGGATTCAGCTGTACCTCCTTCCTGGGGTTCGCTTCTACCTCCCTTCTGGGGTTCTCCCTTCCACCATTCAGTCCCCCCCTCATTCGAGAGTTTCGAGTAAATTCAATTCTGGTTAAAATGTTTTCCAAAGTAACAATTTGTGTGTGTGCCCTGTAATTGCATCGAGAGAGAGTGAGAGAGAGACAGAGAGAGAGCGGTGTGTGGTGACATATGCCAAAAAATGTGACTGCAATGAAACCGGAAACGAGCAGCCGAGAAAACTACAGCCACAACAAAACACCATCCTTTCAATTTTCGGCGGGGGGTGGGGGGCAGGCGGGTGAGAGAGGGACATTGTGTGCACTCAACTGTACCGCAAAAGACTTGAATGTGTCTGCTGCTGCTGCGTGTATTGTCCTTTCTGGTGTTTGCCCTGTTGGGTTCTGTGTATTTTATGACTTGTGTAGGTCCTTCCGAAGGAAGGGAGCATCTCCCCCTCTCCCTCTTGGTTGCTGGCATTTCAAAAGTTTTGCAACGGCATTGCAAGCCCCACATTTTCAACATTGTTGCTGTTGTTGTTGTTGTTGTTGTTGTGGCTGTTGCTATTTGGGTTTTTAGCATGTGACGCCATTTGTGGCATGGTCCAACACAGTCCTTTTCCCCCCCTCAGAAGAAGCTCCACGCACAAGCAGCCCCCCCCTCAAAAAACCCAATACGAGGACTCTTTTTTGCACATCCTCAAGGAGAACGAGACGGCAGGAGAGCGAAAAACTAAAAAGGATGTAGAATTCTCAACCAAAAGTCCTGCCGCCCCCGCCCACGCACCTCACACTATCCTACCTCCCATCGCCTTTCCAACATTCGAAAGTCCTTTCCCCCCTTTTGAAAGTCCATCTCTCTGGGCAGAGAGGGGAGTGCCAGGAGAAAGGAGGCAGAAAGGGGTGTATGGAAGGTGGGAGAAGAGACACAGGGGTGTATGGAAGGTAGGAGAAGAGATAGAGAGGGGCCTGTGGGAGGTTTTCTCAAGTACTGAACGGCCATTGTTGCTGCTGCCATTGTTGCCTGAATGCATACCCTGTAAAATGGGGCATATCTAAGTCTTAAAACAAGTTTAAGACTAGGATTAAGCCTTGAGATTCCTACAGAGAGTTAGGACAGTGTTTAAGCAGGTTCTTAGTGGCAGTTCGGACTGTTTCTAACAAAGTTTTAAATGAAAGTTTGTAGTAGGTCAAAGAAAGTCAAGGGAAAAGCACCACAATTTGAGGCAAGAAACTGTTTAAGAGTTGGGATTAACAATTCCTTGTTGGAAACACAGGAGTTTTTATGGAATATATGTACCTCGTTTAAAGGCACAAATGAAGGATGTTTGGTATGAAATAAATGTTCACCACTTTTCAGTTTCTACGCCTGTAAAATCTTTAAAAATGCATCAGTCCTTGTACATAAGACACGCCATGGTTTTCCCTTGGGAAAGACTTTAATCTTTGAAATTTGGTGACCTCCTTTCAAGGCTGGAAGAGTATTTATTAAGGAAAGACGAAAAAATCTACAGGTAGGTGGAAAAGTCTTTGAAAAATATAAGTCTACATCTGCAAAAAGAATAAACTCCACTTTAAGCTCTTAAATACTTGAGCAATACTTTAGGCCATAAAAGCATAGATCTGAGGTGTTAAAAGCTACAAAGAAATATGATTTCTCAGGCCTAGTATAAAGGGAAAAAGCTATTTAAAAAAGGTCCTCCAGAAATAACTTTCTTCATATAAAAATCGTATAAAATCCTGGTTTCAAACTCTACCAAATCTTCCTTCAATCCATATAAAGTATACCCTTTGTATAACATTTTTCCACCCAATTTTTTTTTTTTAAATAATTTCTGGATAACTCCTGGGTAATTCCGCAAAATTCGTGGATAATTCCTCTATAATTTCTGGATAGTTCCTGAATAATTCCTGGATCATTTCTAAAAATTCGTGAATAATTCGTGGATAATTCCTGAATAGTTACTGGATAATTCCTGAAAAGTCGTGGATAATTCCAGGATAATTCCTGAAAATTTCAGGAGACTTTCTGACAATTCCTAGATAATTCCTGAAAATTCGTGGATAATTCCTTGATAATTCTTGAATAATTCCTGGATATTTCCTAGATAATTCGTGGATAAATCCTGGATAATTCCTAGATAATTGCTGGATAATTCCTATATAATTCCTAGATAATTCCTATATAATTCCTGGATAATTCCTAGATAATTCCTGGCTTTAAACTCTACCAAATGCCTTTCCGTATACCCCTTGTGTAATGTTTTAGTACCCTATTTTTATGTTGTTTTTTAAAATAATTCCTGGCTTTAAACTCTTGCCAAGACCTTTCCATCATCCCATCTACAGTATACCCCTTGTCTCGTATTTAGTACCCTATTTTTTTCTGTGTGTTTGTTGAAACCTTTTTCACTTATTTGCTGTACTAGTCTCTGGCTTCCGTTTTGTTTCTTTTCACTTGTATTTGTAATCCTACCTTTTTCGCCTAGGAAAAGGTAAAGGGAAATTCTTGCCTTTAGTTTTTCTTTTTGCTTTGCTTTGCTTTCATTCAACGCTTTGTTTACGACCAAATCCAAAACAATGGCATTTTTGCACATGAGCGCATTTGAGGCAAGTTCTGACGTCGTCCAACGTCGTCGATGTTGTTGGTGTTGCACTTAAACTAAACTTTTCAGCTGCTGCCCCACAGCCACTAGTGGTCCTTCCTGCCGCCCTCCTCCCGCCCCAGGCCATATGACTCTTGAAATGTCTTCCTGGTCTCCGACTTGTGTTGAATATTTAATCCTTTTTTCCTGCTTCGCCTTCCAGGGCCAGAGAGAAGTGAATTATTACGGGGCATCTTTCGTTTCCTTGCCTCAAACCGAAAGGCAATCTAGCACACACCCACCCAGAGAGAGGGAGAGGGGGTGGCAGGACTGAGAGTGTGGGTCCTGTTTGCTCCTTTGGAATTCCAATTGCCCGAATCATTCGACTCATTGGCCATTGCCATTTTCCTACTTCTTTTTCTGCTGCTGCTGCTGCTGCTTTCCCAATTTCTTCTTTTTTTCTCCCATTTTTCTCTCTAGTTTCTCCCAGAGAACCTTTTTTCCCTCCGGCTCATCTTTGTTTGCCCTCCGCATTAGTAATACAAATTGCACATCGAAAGAAAGTTCAACAAACTGCATTTAAAATGGAACAAATACACACACACACACACGCACACTACAGTGCATATATGTATAGGGAAGGGGCACTCAGGACTGGCCATTTTTAAGCATTGCTCTTTTATCGATTCAGAATTGAGGGAAAATGTTGACTTAAAGCTTGAAATAATTCTGCCAGAAGCGAGACACAATGGCAGCATAGAAAAGGCTTTAAAATGTGGGAGATTAAAAGCATAAAGCTTTTATTATTTAATTTCATATTTATATTTAAACAAAAAATTGGATAAACTTCAATGAAATATTTAATGCTTGAAAAAAAGATAAAAGTTCTTTAAATCATTGATGGTTAACAGTGGAATTACAGATACAATTTAACAGTGTTCCCTAACGGTGTGGCCCAACACTGTTTCCTACTAGTGATCTTTAACTGTGTTTCCTAGCACTGTTTCCTGCTTTAAGTGTGTTTGCTAACACTGTTTCCTACTAGTGTTCTTTAACTGTGTTTCCCAACACTGTTTCATATTAGTGTCCTTCAGCTGTTTTTCCCCACACTGTTTCCTACTAGCCTTCTTTATCTGTGTTTTCCAACATTGTTTCCTACTAGCCTCTTTTAACTATGTTTCCCAACACTGTTTCCTCCTAGCGTCCTTCAGTTGTGCTTCCTAACTCTGTTTCCTACAAGTGTTCTTTAACTGTGTTTCCCAACACTGTTTTCTACAAGAGTACTTCAGCTATGTTTCCTAACCCTTTTTCTTACTACTAGCCTCCTTTAACTGGGTTTCTCAACACATTGTCCTATTAGCGTCCTTCAGATGTTTTTCCCAACACTGTTTCATACTAGTGAACTGTGTTTCTCAACACTGCACTTTCGAAAAAATTTTACACTTTTTGAGCACTTTCAGAAAAACTTCTCGTTATAAAAACACTCGCTTCTCGCTGGCTAACAGCTGTTTTTGACAGCTGTTCACATAACAGTTGGGCACTCTGTTAATTTCTGTTAATATTCGTAGCATTAAAGACTTTCGAAATATGGGTTTGGTCCACAAAAATTGACAAAATATCCCATAAGCCCACAGTTTTCTAATAATGTTCATTGGCAGACTCTTTCCAATGAGTTATAGCCACAAATCTCCCCATAAAGCGGCCCACAAATATTTCATCGAATTATCATGAATTATTAGATTTTATCGGCACACAGCAAAATCCATTTCCATATCCATACTGCAATAAATGTGGGATATGTATGCATATTTATCTTTTATTTAACTAAAAAAAAATTCTTGCACATTCCTTTAAATATTTATTGGAAGCCACTTTTATTTCTCCCTGTTTTTTTGAGTAAAATTCTAAAATTGAGCAGTTAAATACTTGTTTTAAATCCAGAAATTCTTTTAAAGAATTTCCACAAACGAATTCTTTATTTTTCATTGGATTGACATTTTTTAAACCTGATAAAAATATAATTGAATTTTATGACCAAATAAAATTCAATTTATTGAAATGAAAGTTCATTAAAAGCCACTACGGAAAAAAACAGCCAGAGATATTTGGAAAAAAAATTAAACAAAAAAAATTCAAGTAGAAAAATTCAAGTTAAAATATGAAGTACATAAAAAAATCAACGCACCATCAATATTAATTGGCGGAACCGCAATGGACGCTGATTTCAAGATTTCGGTTCCAATTGGTTGGCTTCGATTTTTGTTCGATTTGTCTCCTGCAAAAAAGAGAGAGAAAGGAAATAGGGATATAAATAAATTGATTTATGGCTGCGGCAAGAAATCGATGAATCAAGCGAGCTGTTAAACAATAAAGCCAAAAAGCCGCCACTTAAATAAATGACCAGCTCTTTGTGCTCCAAATGGGAATAACGACGATGATGATGATTACCCCCTGTAAGGGCAGTGGTGTAGGCAAAAGGGGGGCATAGTTCGGGGGGAGAAATGTTGAAAAAGTGCCGAGAAAAGGAGTGTAGATTTATGGATGTTTTAAGACGAGTTTTGTTTACAGGACGAGGATATATGCTTCGTATTTAGGAGATCTGTGGTCTGTAAAGGGTAGTATTTTTTGGGAAGGGAAAAAATATTTTAAAGCTACTGCGAATCAGGATTAAACCTTAAATACCTTTAAAATATCAAAAGAGAACTGTTTAGGGACTGTTAAAAGGGGGTATTATTTAATAGAGAGAAACAACCCTTATCCACGAGGCTCGTTTCAATCAACGCGGAGCTTCGTCACGCACACTACATGTATTTTGTTTTTGGATTCTCGCTCGCTGGCGTCGGTCCCAGTCAGCATTCTCAGGCATTCTGTCTCCCGTCGTGGAAGACTAAATCTCGAGGCAATGTGAATAGAAGATCGCCAAGATAAATTCTCTTTCAGCAGATATTTTTCTAGATAAAAATTCTAAGAAAATTCTAAAAAGGAGAATCTAGAATTCTAGAATTCTAGAACCACAAATTCCATGAGAAATCTCAGTTTTTACAGCTCCTCTCCCTACGCCTCTGTCCACCACAAACCCCCAACAAAGCCCCACTACACATCCATCAACACATAACAAAACGCAGAACCATTATTTAATAGGACAATTTTGTGTGTTTATTGACTTTATCGAGTGTCGAAAATAGCATCATAATCAGTAGAGAGCAAATAAAAAAACAAATACAAAAATTGGGCAAATACAAAGGACACCAAAAGGACCCCCCAGAACCATTAGTGGAGGAGCAGGCGGAAGGGGGGGTGGCGGCTGAGAACAGAGAAACAATTTCCAGCACTAAATCAAAAAATAAAATAGAAAAACGATGGCGTTGGTGGCCTCCCCCAAAAAGATGAAAAGCGAAAAAGTTGTGGGCCCCCCCTCCCCGCTGCAGGAGAGTACTCATGTCATATTATTGACGATGATGGCAAATGAAGCAGCTACCGAGTCCCCCTGATGTCGTGGGAAGGGTCCGTGTACATTGGGGGTACTCTGTGGAGGGGGTAGGGGGGGTGTAGGAGGTGGCATGTCTGTCGGCAATTTCATCAGCTTAAACCGATGACAGTTGAAAAATGTGCTCCAACTTTTTTTGTGTTTGCATTTTTTCCGCCCACTCTGACATTTTTCCACACTTTTCGCTGTACATTTTCCCCCACTTTTCCCCCACTTTTCCCCCACTTTTCCCCCACTTTTCCCTTACATTTTCCCTTACTTTTCCGTTCTTTTTTGCCCATAGATATATATTTAAAAATGGTATAAAATGGCGGTTGACGTTTGACAGAAGGGGAAGCGGAGGTTGTCACTGCGGTGGCAATGTTTTTGAAAGTTGGCTAGGAGAGAGGCAGCTGCCTGCCGCCTGCTGCCTGCTGCCTGATGCCTGACATTTCATAAAATGCCACATCGCCTTATGCAAATGACGCGTGCCTTCCTTTGTGGGCGAGTCCCCAAGCAAAATCGAAGCATCGATTGGGCCGCCCTCCCACTCCCACCGCAGGTGTTCGGCTTAGCCACAATGTGTGTTTGGCCATATCAAACGACAAATCGGCCACAAAAACGCACACACACTGTCAAGCCACAGCGTGTGGCATGCCACACACACACACACACACACAAAAACTTCTACCATTCTCCTTCGATCGAACCGCAAAAAACTTTCACACGCCAAAACAATTTGTTTCAGTTTCCGGAGAGACAAATCCTTCGGTCCCGGCGATGTCCTGTGCATAGCAAATATTGCCCGTAATTTAATTAATCCTCGAAATCCACGAAAGTATCAAAGTTTTCGACCATCAGGCCAATAAAATTGGTAACAGGAGGAGGGGGTGGGGGCGAGGAAAGGGGTGTAGGAAGGCAGGGGAATGCGGGCACAGTGGAGATTCCACAACTAAGAAAATTATTAGGAAAAGAAAATCCCAGAATATCCCACGGAAAATTGAAGTTTAGATCCCCAATTTCTGACTCTAAAATAACTAACAATATCTTTAAATTCTTAAAAAATTAATTTCCTTGAAGTAGAATTAATTAAAAATATGAAAAAAATGGTTTACGATCAATTGGTGATCTTTTAAAATGGTTTAGGATGGGGATATACGACTTTTTGGGGGAAAATATGCTGGGATTCCATTAATAAAAGGCAGAACCAAACCTTAAAATTCCAAAAACTGTAGAAATACCATTTATTGAGGACTCTCTATTGTCCATACCCATATCCTTTGCGGATATCAATTAAATGCCAAACACAAACACAAAATACAAAGCAAAGGGGCGGCAGGGAGGCGGTAAAAAGGCAGAGAGGGGGCAGAGAGGCAGCAAAGGGGAGGCGGCAGAGAGCCAGCAGAGAGGAGGTGGACAACCGGCAGATGCTGGGCAGAAGGCAACAGAGAGGCGTTGGAGGAGGAGGATGAGGATAATGCGAGGAAGAGGCGGCAGAGAGGCGTTGGATGGAAGGCAGATGATGGCCAAAAGGCGACAGAGAGGCAGCAGAGAGGCGGCAGAGAGTCGGCAGAGAAGCGGCAGAGAGCCAGCAGATGCTGGGCAGAGAGGCGTTGGAGGAGGAGGAGAATAATGAGAGGAAGAGGCGGCAGAGAGCAGGCAAATGATGGCAGGGAGGCGCCAAAGCGATGAAGCGATTTCCTGGCGACCAAAAATCTATTAGGCTTTCCCCCAGACCACCCCCCCCAAGCCCCCTCCCAACGCTCAAAACTTTCCACCATTGAGACACAGGCACACACTTTGATTAATTTTAAGACAATAATCATAAAGGAGGTTTTTCGGTCCCCCAAACCACCTCCTCCCTCTCTCTCTGTCTCTCTTTCGCTGGAGAGCACGTGCCTGGGTTGCCTATCCTTAAGGATACTTAGGCGGGCTCCTTCGCCTTCGTTTCTTCAGCTCTTACAGAACCCAGGCACGTCTCTCTCCCTCTCTTTCTGTCTCTGTCTCCATCTCCATCTCTTTCCACGTGGGTTAGTTAATTTTCGCCGCCTCGAAGTTCTCGCAGGCGATAGAGGAGGGAAAAACTTTAAGTCGATGGAAAACTTAATCAAAGTTCCTTACTGTATTTTCCACCGGAAAAGTTTCCTTCCACCTAACGGCAAAACGAGTCGAGTTTTCGGGGCACGCAACACTATTCTGCCTCCAACGGGGCAATGGCTTCGTTAACTCGTTCCGAGGGGCGCCCCTTTCTCTCCGCCCCCCCTTCCTGTGGCACCTGCCACAAACTGTTTGCGTGTCTGAATGTTATTTATAATATGCTAACCTCGCTGCTGCCTGGCTCCTTGGGTCCTTCTGCCGCCGGCCAGCCTTCAACTTGACCAAATGTACAACATTTCAAGTTTTCATCCTTAAAACCACTCCGGGGGTGGGGGGGCGCTGCCTTTGTGGCGTTTAACTTTTAATTGGATTTCAGTTTTTGGCTTAGTTAATGGCTAAATGAACTCGCCCCCGCACACCCCTGCCCCCCCTCCCCTGCCCCTGCCCATGCCCTGCTGTTGTGTGCAAAATATTAGCGCATAATTTCAACAATTACTTCCAACGGACTGACCAAAAGAGGAACAGTCCTGCTCCTAATGCTCCTCCTTCTGTTCCTCCTGCTCCTCCTCGTCCTCCTCGTCCTCCTCCTCCTCCTCCTCCCCTGCTTAATCATTTGCATATTTTCATTAGAAATTCTGCATTCACCTTTTGGCATAATTATCTTTCTGCTTTCGAGAATAATTATCATTAATTACAGACTGGAAACATTGCAAAAACTTTTCCCACACACAAAAATCACTGAAGTTCGCAAATAAACTTTAAGGTGGAATATTTATTTCGAAAATAAAAAGAAAGTCCGACAATTTTAAAGGTTTTTGCGGTAGAAACATTTTTTATTTATTTTTTCCTCTAAATATTTAAAGATTTTTGCGGCACAAAACATTATTTTTTTTTTAATTTTTTACCCCCAATTTTTTACTGCAAAAATTTGTTGAATGTTTTTACTGCACAGGAATTTTTTTTATATTTTTTTAAAAAAATTTTACTCTACATTTTTAATGGTTTTCGCTGCTCAAAATGGTTGATATTTTTTTTTCTGTTTAAAATTTTTGAAGGTTATTTCTTTGCTTCAATCTTTCAGGGTTTCGCCCCATTGTTAAAGGTCATTGGATCCCTCATTCGTATCAGCTGCTTCCCACACGCATTCCTGCCTCTGTGCAATTTCCATATTGGATTCATTGAAATGGATTAAAACGAGGCCCAAGGAATCATTTCCATATTAGGTTCATTCAAATGGATTAAAATGAAGGCAAAACGCAGAAAGAATTTAGGCAATGAAACCCCAAAAATGAAGGCGAGGAACCACCGACAAAAAGAAGAGAGGGAAGGAGTGAGAGAGAGAGAGAGAGAGAGAGAGGCAGCCCCCAAAAAACAGAGCGATGGGCAAATGTTAGGCAAATTTTAAAAGAAAAATCTAAGAGGAAGAGGGAAAATCGTAAGAAAAAAGAGAAAAATCCAGAGAAAAATACAGGAAAAAAATCTAAGAAAAAGCGAAAAAAGTAGTAGAAAATCCAAGAAGTAGAAAAAAACGTCAAGAAAAAAAACGTAGGAAAACATAAAAAAACGTAAGAAAAAAATATAAGAAAAATAACAAATCGTGAGGGAAAAATCGAAGACAAAGCAAAAAATGTAATAGCAAATCCAAGAAGTAGGAGAAAACGTAAGACAAAGAATCAAAAAAGCAGGATAAATAAAACGTAAGACAGAGA